GTGGTTGAAAAATATCATTGTATACGTTATTGATACGTGGGTTTAGCCCCACATGCCATTTTTATATACGATGATATTTTTATAACTCATGTACCTCTGCGATGGTGGTATTTTCCAAAATTTTCCTATTTCTTTTCTTTTGTTTATGGTGCTGTAGTTCGTTATTTCAAAAGGATTTTATAAGTGCCTTTTGATTCGTATATCATTGAAAGCGAGTAGCTATTTTAAAAAATGTTTACATATTCTCTGCAAATTTTCTCAAGATGCATGCCTTTTGTCTCAAATGGTAAAACAGTATACACAACTCCTAGAGGGGGTTAATTAAATTATTTACCACTATGGCAAACCATGGTGAAACAATAGAAACGAGTACAACTTGCTATGGTCAAGTTCTCCAAAAAAAAACTTGCTATGGTCAATCCTTGCTCTCATGATCATTTGGAAGAAGACCTACCTTTAATATACTATCTTAATCTCCACCATTGATATGCTACCTTTAATGCCATTATGTGTTTTACATTACTTATATTTTATTATTCAATAAAGAAAATAATCTCATGCGAAAAATACCTTTAGAGAAAGCAAAACATCTCATGAAGAAATCGCCTTTACACGTTAGGCAAATTAGATAATGTTTAAAATTTGTCTCTTAGAAACAAACAATTGTAGATTGCTTGAATATTTGGCTAACAAAACCATATTTTATTAAACAAAAATCTACAGCCTAACCATATAAAATTTTATTTGGATCAGATAGATTGTTCCAAGAGTATGGAATGTTAGGTCACCTTTAGAATGAAGGATTTTTTAGGTAACTCACGAGAATTGAACAATGTGAAAATTCTATAAAATTCCCACATCCTAGAGAGTGTATAATATTACTTACTATTCTATTACAACTTAATTTTTAATAATACAAATATTCTTTTTATCTGAATGGTCTATTATTCTCCGTGCTCTGAGTGACAGTAGTTTGTGTGCTATGCAATCTTTCTTTTGGTTGTGATAGTTTGGTGGAGGACAGTTATAGCAATAAGCAAGCCAGAGGAAGATAAGAATTGAAAATCTCCCACCAGAAAACTGAAGGCACATGGCAATATGGTCCCACATTTGTCCATAATTGTTGTCTGATTTTTATGGAGGGGAAGGATATATGCATGTTAGCTTTGACCTAATCCTTAAAAGGCTCCTCTTTTTATTCCTTGTGGCATGGCAAGAAGTTTGGTGGCATTAAATTCATAATTTAGAATGTTTGTATATAAGCAAAACCAAGGGTTCACATAGCACTAAGTGCATAGTGAGTCTATGAGATGAACTGAGGAGAAAAATTACATGTCCTTGTCATGTGTATTTATGCCCTTTCGCTTTAGGGTTAAGTCTTTATCATGAAGACAACTGAACATAATTTGTATATGCAGCCAATCCAGAGCTACGGAGTCTTGTCTAGAGGATGGGCCATTCGGGCTCTCCCTATATTGGTGATTGATGCAGTTGTCTTCCTAAAACGCCATGTCCTTTTCGAAATGCTGCAAAGAAATTGACGCTCAACTTATTGAAAATATTTAAAGAATACCATTTTTGTGGTCTCTTCTTATTCTAATACCTGAATTACTGTCGCTAGTATAAAAATGTCGATCCTGCCGGTTCGTAACTGGTATCAGAAAGGGTTTTCAAACAGGCAGGCAGCAAGCTGCAGTGATGGCCATGACACATCATTGCCTGTGATACAAGCATATCAAGCTAACAGGGATAGCCATTTCCAATAAAAAAGTACAATCAATTTACAATTCTACATATTACACACTGATACAATTTGCATGCACCATGCATGCAATTTTCTTTCATTCAATTTAATTTGCAATTTGACTTGCATATACACTAATTCAATGAATTGTTACAGTAAGACATCATCAACAACACATCACTACACATTAGCTGAAATATTGAATTGTCGAAGAACACATCGTCACACATCTCTTTGTATCAACAACACATATCCCACACCCTAGTTGAATCATTGAACTCTAGAACAACTTACCCTAGATCAGCCTACAAGCCGGTGTTGTCATCGTTGTCCCCGCATAGCCACGACCCTTGTCTCCCTCGAGTTGTGGCCATCGTCAATCTATCTCCCACGGGCCATGCCCATTGTCAATCTCTCTCGTCGCTACAGGAGACGTCACCCTAAGCCCACCACCTCTTAAGTCAGGTCGACCAACTCCTATTCACAAACAATTAACCTAACAATATATAATTAATGGCAATAGTTAACCTACCAATATATTTAGTGGTACACAAGTGAAACCATTTAATCTGTATTTGAACATATAATATTTTTATCCAGTTACATGCAAAAACATATGGTTCACACGCTACCACACGAACACATCCACGAGTGCACTTCTTTAAAACACACACACACACACATTCAAGACACAAGGTCCCAATGTAACAACAAATCTTTGAACCTTACTAGAGTCCAAAAGCATATCCGCGCATGTGTAATTATGGGAATGAGAATTTTAGAACTCCTTTGAATTGAAGGAATTTTTCAAGAAACATGGCGGAATTGAATCCAATGGAAAACAATTCCTTTGTGAGCCTTTGGATGGTGGAATTGCCTCATAGGAATTTTAGAGGATAGGAAGATTTCCTCTATATTTTGGAGGATTACTAGCAAGAGGTCTAACCTCATGTTTACAATTCCTTCGGGAGTTTGAATGTACTTTCTATCTTCCTCTATCCCTTCTCTTTCTAATAAATCAACATATAATCTTGATGTTCCTCTATTTTTCCTTTGAGGCGTCCAAACAACTATTTGTGCAATTTCTATGGTTTCGTTTCAGATTCCTGTGTTCCAAAGTAAACCATCTTTGAGGATGTAGTTCCCCTACACTGTGATCTCCCCCTGAACAGGCTTTTTAATCTTATAATTTTGGTAACATATATATTGCGGAAGAAACCAATGAACTAAGTTCAATGTTGATTTCTTTCAAGAAATAATTAAAATCGGCCTCAACATTCAGACAAGATGTACACAACCAAATTGAGCTCGATGCTGATGGAAGCTATATGTTAAGGGCCTGTTTATTTCCCAAACATCAAATGTTTGGACACATGCATGAAGTATTAAATGTAGAAAAAAAACCAATTACACAGTTTACTAGGAAATTACGAGATGAATCTTTTAAGCCTAATTGCGCCATGATTTAACAATATGGTGCTACAGTAAATATTTGCTAATGACGGATTAGTTAGGCTTAATAAATTCATCTCGTAGTTATCTGGCTGAATTTGTATTTTGTTTTGTTATTAGACTGTGTTTAATACTTCAAATGTGTGTCTGTATATCCGATGTGATATGGAGGGACAAAATGCGAACTAAACAAGCCCTAAATGACTAAATCGAGCCACAATACGTTTACCAACGAAGGAAGTACTACTAGATTATGTCGACCCAGGGACCCCAAGCACTTCCATCACCATCAGAAAGAGATTAAAGAAGAGAGCTCGTATCATGCATGGAGGGTGCACCGTACAGCTAACTTGGAGTAAACAAACAAACAAACAAGAAACAAAACCAAGGCCAGATAGCATCTGCTAGTACTCCTACTACTACCATCCAAGACCAAGAGCAAACTGGTCAGAGCTGCCACTGCTCAGCCAGTGCCAACACAAACCAGCTGGAAACCAAACTGGCCAGATTTTATAAAGCAAATAAACGCGGTTTCGTCACTCAACCCAACCACTGTCGTCCTCAGCAAAAATCTTCGGCGCATCCTCCGGCGCACCCAGCTACAAGCCACCGGTTGCACTGCTGTCTGTCTACCTGAAGCCGCAGGGTTTGGCAACGAAAGCCACATTAACTCATTGCTCATTGCAAAATTTGCAAACAATTATCCTACCCAACTTTAGCAAGGACAAATGGACCCCTTTTGTTCTGTGTATTAGGTAGAAGAAAAAAAAATGGATTGGCTATATGTTCGACTTGGGATCGAGATATATATGTACAGATGAATATTTTAAGGGATCAGGTGTTTGCTTTTTTTTTTTCTAAATGTCTATTTTACTCTCTTCAATTGTTTTGCTAGATCAACTTATTTCAAATAATAACTATCACCGTTGACCACCGTAATTTAATTTTTGACCATCAGTAAATTTTAAATGGTTATTACATCATGGTGTACAGAAGTTTAATAACTATATTTAGCATGCGTCACACTTTGCTAATATTGAGTGCTTTTAATTATTTACACATTTTCTTAAAAAAAATATGAGTTATCAATTTTGAAAATAAATATATAGCATCCGGGTAACAAGTATTTGAAGATAGAGGGTTATAAATTGTTCTCCAGCCCATTCTACCCTTGGATTATTAGAAAATAGATAATTTTATTCCCTCATAACATTTCTGTTTTACTTGTGCGAAACATGTTTTAGCTTATTTTTTTAAGATCCACTGTTGACATCATAACCATTGTAGTTTGAAAAATCGTACTTCAAGCATTCTTATTAGAAAATTAAGGCCCGATAATCTTTTTCTTTTAAAAAAAGTGGAGGCACAATATTAGTGTTTTCTGACTGTCATTGCCAGCTCTAATTTAAAATTTAAAATTAATTTATATTTTTCTTGCTTTTGAGCCTTAATTTTTTTTATCACTAAGAGTAGAAGTGAAAAGCCTTACCTAAAATATTTTACTTTTGTTGCTTTTCATTTATTTTTCTTCGGCATGTGTAAAGAGAAACAAAGAGTAACCATTTTGTAAGTAGCTCGGAGGGCCCGGTAAATTGAACTGAAAAATTGTTTTCGTGGTTAATTTTTTTTTGGCAAAATAGTCAAGGAAAAACTGGACTTTTCTTAGGTTAAAAATAATGACAGGTGCTTTTATTCATACTAGTTATCGTGCACGTGCAAGGCACGTTTTGGTTTTATGTATGTGTGTACAAAGAGAGAACAATAGTGACCTAAAAAGGCAGTACACTCTATAAAAATCTCGAGGTAAAAATAGAATTTCATACACCTTAGTAAAATAACAATTTGGATGATTACTATAAAATCCTTTCTGGTGAATCACACTACCTTCTAGCCAACAAAGGTACATGTATATTCATAATGTACAAAGTAGCCATTCCCATATTCCACACCAGATTACAACATAACAATGAAATCCATGGCAAAAAAAAAAAGATGGTGGCATTCTTGTCAATATTGACTGCATGAAAACATCAAGATTTAAATAAAAAACACAGGCTAAAAACTCATAAGATAATCTTGGTAAAAAAGATATGAAATCCTTACATGATATAATCTAATTTTCAAAACATTGCTCACAAACCCCAGTTGATATATTCGTTGTATAACAAAGTTGCAAATGCACGACATTTACTTTCTAGTAAGTAAAAGGAATTGCAATTTCATGTACTACAAGATACTAAGAAAATAGGGAAAGCTAAAGAATGTAAAGATGAATGTTCTCCCACAACCATCTATTTTTTGTTCAAGCAATCATGTTTGGTCTATCTGCAGCAAACAACGAAGGCCTTCCAAATTCGTCAAACACCTTTTGGACAGGAGTATCAATGATGCCTAGAAGGCCTTCCAATCTTTTCTAGAGTGGCAATGGTACCTAGAAAATATGAGGGAACCTGTATGAAATGAAATGCTTATATAAAAGTTTTTCCTCTTCCTTTGGCTTAAGCAGCAACACTTAAGGTGATCACAAATAATCAAACCCAGTTAGCTCCGACAAATAAATGAAGCCATATGACAGTTATTAGTAATCAGGAAATTCACCATTACATGCAGAAACAAATCAAGAAAGAGAATCTTAAATTGTTTGAGGAAGTATATATAAAGTCATAAATGTTTTCCAGCATCAAGTACCCAGTAAACACCAAGCCTGTGATATAAACATCACATTGTAAACTACAAAACAAATAAGGAAATTCTATATGTTGTGCTCTCAAACTGTGCCAGTGCCTACAGTAGTGCAGTATGTATTGCAAAACTCCTATCAAGCCATCTTACAGTAGCATAACACAAAATTAAATTGATCAGCAGCATTTCTTGCAAGGAAAATAAAATAAGGCTCTCATCTATTGAGAGATGCATAATGCAAAAGGAGTATAGATGTGTAAAAAATAGGCAAATTGAAAAATAGGAAAGATTGAAAAACATTGGAAAAATCACATACTGAAAAATAGAAACAATCACCATACCTTTTTTCTAATGTCATAGATTGCAGCTTCAATACAGTGAACAAAGAACTATGAACTTCATCACCAAAGAATGTAAAAAAGCAAAAAAAAATCATTTATGGGCCTAATATCAGTATACCAGCAAAATAACCAGTGGTTTTGCTGGATGGCATCACAAGCACCTATCATAAGATTTGAAAAGAGATGCATAATGCAGCTGGAGAAAAACAATCACCATCACACGCACACACCATGGTGCCCCGTATGGCTGTCCTATATATATGGCAAAAATAAGGCCACAATTGAATAGTCTCATAAATTTGATCTTAAATAAAAAGGCCAATGTCTCATCATAAGATAATTTATGAGAAGAATAGAGGGGGAATACAGATTGGACGTGAAACATTCCAAAAATTGCTCTGCAATGTTTTTTATATGGAATTTTTTCAGGTTCATCGGTATGTTTATTGGCTTACTGCTGAGATGAACCTGCCATTGACCAACTAAACTTTTCTCTTATAAAAGGACATCATAATTTACCCCAACAACAAAATACAAACCGTAGCTCAATATAGATTAATCTAGACCATTACCTCTTACCAATGTCGCCAGCTTCATGATTTGGTTCCTAGATTATATAATCAAACTGGGAACTTCAGATTATTGGAGGTTAGAATCATGAAAAAGTTGTTGTTCATAATACCTGTATTTGCTAGAAGAAATTGAAGAAATAAAAAGCTAATGAGGAAGGTAATGTTCCAAATATATACAATTTCTCGAGTTGCCATTGACCAACTTCAGATGGTGTCTAGCGCATCCAACTTTGTTTTGGGAATTCACAACAGCTGGTTTATTGAAGGATGATAAGTAATTCAAAGCAATTAGAGAACCAGAGCATGCAGATGAAAATTACAAGTTCAACAAAGTTCAGTGGATTACTCTTGCAGACCCCTCTTGCTCATAGCCATGTGATGGTGAGGTGCTCCTATGATGTTTCTTGTTGTCCGCTTCTTGATGTCCGCATGACCATGGGTTGGTAGTTGCCATCTCCATGGCAAACTTGATGCACTCTATTTTTCAAACTTTGCGATTGAAGTTTTCAGATATCATAATCTCCTTTTTTGATGCTGTACTGCAGAAAAGGAACCAAAATAGGGTTAATCATTTGTTCTGTTATCTGTATAACATAACAGATTTGATATTCACATAAGTATTTTGGCTATGTTGGAAAATAGTATAAACAATATTCCTTGATGTATGTCCTATAGCAAGTACAACCACTAATGACCAATTCAATAGTGGAATTTGTGAACTATCAAAGTATAAAAGGTCCACATTACAGATTTTTATGTATAATCTAAAAAAATAGTATCAATAGCATTATTCATGAAGTAAATATTGCTTTCAATTATTTAGGTTTATGATTTTTGCAGGTTATGAACATCTAGCAACATAGTCTCTTACCATCAGTAACATGCAAAAAGGAAAAGAAATATAAAATTAAATTAATTTTCATTTGAAATGAAAGAAAGTTTCTACATATGATGTTCCATACTTTTTTTTTGGTGGGGGGAGGAGAGGTGTGGAAAGCAGAGCAGAACAGAACATGACCGAAGAAGGAAAATATCAGCTATAGGAAAGCATATTACCAGTGACAGTTGTAGGAGGCTGGACCATTTGTTATTTATATGCATTCTTTTATCAGCAAGCACCCATTGATCCTGCAATGCATGCATTAGAAAACAAACCATCATGCATAAATCGTGCTTGTGCCCTTGCGCAGAATAAAGGCTTACATTTTTGTGTAGCAGAAAGGGATGATTCTTTGCCTCAAACAGTAAAGGAAAATATTCACATTGTTCACGGTGACAAATACATTATCAAGTTTGAAAGAAATACAAAGAAATCACCTACAGAAAATTCACATAGATTATATAAGCAAACCTATACCACTAATGAAAACATCCAATAAATCAAAATGTTGGTTATAATTAGCAGTTATTCAGTCAGATTGTCCCAATATTTCTGGATTGGTATTCAGATGAAAAATCACCTGTTAGTCATAATGTAGCAGCAAGCAACTTGACTGTAGCTTCTCCATACTTTTCACCATCTCTACAACTTGACTGCCTGGTTCTGTAGGACAGCTTCCTGTCCTCTTGGAGAATCCCTCATGATTCAGCATCGGACAGGACATAACATGAATCTATCAGCAGTCACTATCTAGGTTTCTTGAATATTTAGCCAACATAGCCAAGGCTTAAGAACGAAGATCATCAGACATAGATATCAAAATTTCCACACGTACGGAGAAGATTAAGAAAAGACACAGGATTTGAGGGACTTACTCGTACTATAGGCTTTCAACAATAGGGTCAACATTGGCGATCTGATGATGATGAAGTGGCAAATGGGGAAGAGGGCCGACCTCGGTGCCGGCCAGCGGCGGAGTGCACGGCGGTGTCGGTGACGGCAGAAGGGGCCGAGGTCGGATCCGGCCGTGGCGGTGAGGAAGAAGCAGTATCCGGCAGCGGCAGCAGCGGCTGCTCCGGCGAGGATGCGGCTTCAGTACACGTGGGGAGAAGGAGGAGCGAGCGAGGAGAATGGCCGCGGCGGTGGGGAAGAAGCAGGATGCGGCGAAGCGGCTGCAGCAGGGAGGAGCTCCGGTGAGGATGCAACTTCAATACACGCGGGGAGGAGGATGAGCGAGAGAGGAGAAGCGATGTTTTCGCAGCCGCGGGTGGAGGAGGAGGAGCGAAGTCTTCGCGCGTGAAATCCTTGGCGGTGAAATTGTGCTGTGGAGAAATCTTGCGCGTGGATGGACGGTATAGATTAATTCGGATGATTTAGCACGTAGGATTGGAGGGGGGCAACTCCTCCTTTTTTATATTAGTATAGATTGGAAAGAAAATAAATATGCTAGATGTGGATATTTGGGGGGTGGGGGGGGGGGGGGAAGAACTGCTCAGGAGACCTTTCATAAGGTGAGATGTCAATCGAAGCTGTCAAAGAATATTGCAGTAATTATAGAGACGTAAAGCTTGAGTGTGGTAAACAATTGTGAGTGGATGAGCCGATAAGGGTCACTGATTAGCTAGGATGTGGTATGGAGACATGTATTGTCGTTGAGAGCAACAGACGTGACATAGGAAGATGTTGACGGTGAAATCAGCCCATAACATGTCCCAGTGTCCAGTGACATTATAGACGTGATGACATATGATAAAATTACTAGTACCATGTATTATGCTTGTGTGTCGCGTTGGATGACAAATACATACTCCCCCGGTCAAAAAAAAAAAGACAAACCTGGTTTCCGTGCCCAACGTTTGACCGTCCGTCTTATTTAAAAAAACTATAAAAAAAATTAAAAAGACAAGTCACGCATAAAATATTAATCATGTTTTATCATCTAACAACAATGAAAATACGAATTATAAAAAAATTTCATATAAAACGGATAGTCAAAGTTGGACACAAAAACCCAGGGTTTGCCTTTTTTTGGGACGGAGGGAGTATGCTACATGATCTACACAACAAACCCATAAAAAAATAGTTATCCTCCCGATTGTAAAAGTATATACGTGACTATATCTCCAACTAAAAAAACTCAATTATATGCAAACAACTTATCCATGTTTACCCACATATAATATTTTTTAATATGAAAATCTAGGGTGGTGACCCACGTAGTTTGCGCAGCCAACATCATCATAATTTTTCCCCACATAATAGCTATATACTTTCACATTTTATTATCAAAATTATATTGAAATGGCAACATAACTTTAAACTCTGGCCTAACTTGACAAACTGACCAATATCTAATCCTTATTTCCATGAGTCAAACGCGATGGATCCTTTAATATTATGTAAATAATGTAAATAAAAAAAATAGAACTAATAGGAGCGCGCTCCTAATATTCCAAGCGCCAAACATGCATCAGCCCAGGCCCACCCCACCCCACGTCCCGTCATCCCACTCCTACCGTTGTCGGAGTAAACGATTTACTCCTAACTCCTACCGTTGTCGGAGTAAACGATTTACTCCTATCGCGCACCTCAACCACCCACCTTTATTCGAGTAAACGATTTACTTCGATAATAAAAACAACTCTCCTGCTTCCGATCCCACCCCACCTCCCGCATCGTGCTCCCACCATTATCGGAGTAAATGATTTACTTCGATAAAAACAACTTCTCTGCTTCCAGTATATATTTTATTTTCCCGTATCCAACCAACCACTCTCGCCCCCACTTCATTTTTTCCTTTTTTTTCAGATCTAAATCGATCCACCATCCCAGCCCATAGATCGCGACACACCATGGAGGAGAACGACAACACCGTGATGGTTGATGGCGGTGGCCGGCGGTGGTTGAGGTGAAGGCACTGCTTCGGGCCTCGCTGCCGCACCTTAACCAGCAAGGAGGTGTTCACCTGGGCCAATAGGAACAACCAGCGGCTGCTCCACGTCGGCGACATTGATAGAATAAGCAAGTAAGGAAATGACACTGATTTGCATCTGAATACTCTCCTTCAACTTCATGCATGAAGCCCCAATTTGATTTTTGCAAATCAAATTAACGTGCAATCTCCAATATTACCTGATCTCATTTGATGGGCTGCACAGGTCCTACATTTGCACATCATGCTCCATGTGGCTGACCACAGAGGATAGGGTGGAGTCCGCCGGTGATCGAGGTTGTTTGCTATCTATTTTTCTTTTGCTCGTCATCTCTATTGACATGAACGAGAATGTTTTTGCATTTTTTTCGTGCTTGCTAGATGATGGATGGCTGCTACTGCGCAACGTCGAGTTCATCTATATACCACACCGCTACATCCTTCTATGATTCCATCGTCAACTACTGCTCGCCACCCGGTTGCCCTCTCCACTACCAGTTATAAGACACATACCGTGCTCTTCATCCTTATAGCAAGATCCAACAAAGCCACCAGATGGATTTTTTTTGACCAGAATAACAGCAGGAGAGGTCCTACTGTGATATAATAAATAAAAATATAGAATATTTACAAAAGAGCTTTACAGAGGGGGGGGGGAGAATCAATTACAGTTGATCAATCCATGATTGCCAAGCGGGGATATCTTGTCTATTTACTCTATGCAAAAGTAGAGTAAAGTCCTCTTTGAATAAACATTTCCAACGAGATAGAGATGGCCTGATGTTGTTAAAGATAAGATCATTTCTTCTCAGCCATATATTCCAAGAGGCTACAGCAATAACTTCATAAAAGAAAGAAAGACCAAAGTTTTGCTTCGCCACCAAGATCATATTCATAAATTCCAGATTCCCATGCCATTGAATCCCCAGATAAGACCAGCATTGAGCAGCAAAAGGACAGGCGAAGAAGAGATGCGTTAGATCTTCAGGTTGATTTGAGTTGCACATTCCACAGCTGATGTTAGGAGTTGAGAGAAGATTTTTATGCTGAAGCATTGCAAGAGTGTTGAGCCAAGACATCAGAAGTAACCATAGAAAGACTTTCAGCTTGAGGGTGCATTTACTTTTCCAAATGTGAGTGAGAGGCACTGCTGGTTGAAGATGAGCAAAGAAGAGTGAATAGATCTTCTTTGAGTGAGAGAAGAGGCCGTCCCAAGGATAATCCCAAGAGTCATTTGAGCTTGACAGACTGGTATGTTGAATGATGTTTTCCAAAGATCTCCATTCAGTCATAGCTTGAGAAGATAACGGTAGATTGAAGTGATTTTGTACTGAAGGGTTGCTAATGAAGCTGAAGCAGGATATGTCCTTTGAATTGGAGAATAAAAATAAGGAGCTGTGGGAGTCTGCCAAAGTCTGTCCATGAGGAAGCCAATTGTCTTTCCAAAACAATACAGTATCACCCCCTTTGACCCTAATTTTGATGACAGCTCTGAAGAGAGGAATCAGTCTGAAGATATTCTTCCACCAAAACGAACCAATTTCTTTGCATGCATGAGGAGGCAGATCAACATTGTGATAATATTTGTTCCATAGTTTCACGCAAGGTAAGTCCTGCTCATTGTAGAATTTGTAAAGATGTTTCATCAAAAGAGAGGTGTTTTGATAGTGTAAATCAATGATTCCCAGACCTCCTTTGTCCTTTGGTTTACAGACCAGATTCCAAGCAGCAAGAGATTGTGGTCTATTTGAATTTTCATTTGACTTTCTCCAAAGACAATGTCTTCTTGCTCTGTCTATGTGCTCAATAATCTTCTTTGGGAGTTGGAGAGTACACATGTAGTAAGTGGGAAGGGAACTGAGGACCGAATTTACAAATGTCAATCTTTGCCCATAATTAAGGAAGTTGGCAATTGGAGATAACCTTCTTTCAACTCTGTCAATGAGAGGACCAAAATCAGCAATTTTTGGCTTGTTGTAACTAAGGGGAAGCCCCAGATATGTGAAGGGCAAGCTTCCAGTTTGACAACCAAGGGTGGCAGCTAGAACAGAGAGGTCATCATTTTTGGTTCTTTTCTAGTTTGATTCACCTCTGAGTAATTATATCGCTTGTGTGTGATTGAGCCTGTAAGTTTTTCATTCATACAACTATTTTGTGCTACAGAATACTCTTAGTATCAGTCTTTACTGTTATACTGTATATTGAATACATCAGTAAACATATTACTATACGGTGGCTACGGGATCATGGCTATATTGAGAGGAATGTGGTAATTGTTTTACTCGCAGACCACGAAATCTCAGTTTTTATTCTTATCATGTGTATTGAACACATCAATGTTGGTATTTCTTAACGACATTACTATAAATATAATTCCCAGCAATGGCGCAGAAATACTCATGGTATATTATGGTTACAGAGTTCATCTGTAAGCGCACGGATATACCATTGTAGCTATATTTTTAATGTAGTTATATTTTTAATGTAGTTTGAGGATATTTTCTTTTTCTTCAATTAACTTGTGAATTCTAAGAATTTTTAATTAGCATGATATTTGCCTGTTGTTTTCACCTCGTGGGATTAACGTGGGGCTCATAGAAGAGCCTCCAATTAATATAAGCAAACTAATGAACTCTTCTCTCGGTATTATTTATTTTAATCAAAATTTAATATATTTCTAAATTATATTGCCACATGAAATATTTTCTCAATAATATTTATTTTTAACTTGAGTTTAAGATATTTCTAAATTGTATTTCTACGTGGACCACTTCTCCTAATATTATTATATTTTAATTCGAATTTTAAATATTTCTAAATTGTACTTCTGCATAAACTATTTTCTCTATAATATTTTTTAATCCAAATTGTAGATTTTTACCTAAATTGTAGTTCTACATGGATTCCTATCTCAATATTAATTCTTTTTAAATTTTGTTATCCAAGTTTCATTTTTTAAATTATATTTCTACACACAGACTCTTCTTTTACTTTTAATTTTTTATTCTGAATTTGAGATATTTAAATTGTATATCTATTTGAATCTTTTATGTGTGAATTTCTTGGTCTTGAAAGCGAACATGGTAGCTGTCGACGAGTTATAACGACAATGGTATCTTGGAGTAAGCGGATCGTTGGTACAAGATCTACGCGAGACCGTATCACGAAAACAAGGTTTATACTAGTTTGGATCATCGACATGAGCAATAAATTAGTCCAGTTTATATATATTTGTGGGAAAAGCACCACATATATCACAATGGGAGAATATGTGGACTATTCTAATCTGCCGAGTAGAACCCGCTGAGTACTTCTAAACGAGTAGAAGTTGGTGACTAGGGGTTCGGCTTCCTCTGGATCGTTTCTCAATGTGGCTTTAGCTATGACTTGTGATTCGATGCCCATCCCCTTCATGGGCCCTTGTATTTATACCCATTATTGTCTTCTTATC